GTTTTAATGCTCACCGTCCTCTTTGGTCGCATCATGACACTCTTCTAGGCCCTTGCGTTGTTGGATGGACGCCATTTGAGGGTCACCGTTATGCTTGTCTCGACGTGAAGGTCATAACCTACTCTCTTCGTAATATAGTTGTGACGTTCTCTCCCACTTAAAGTTGTCACCATCCTCGATGACGCTCCATGGATTGTGACACAGAACTCCGACCTAGGTGATTAAATTGAATTTAGATCAATAGTCCCAAATGTGCTTATCAATTGGAGCTCATTTGATATTTACCTATAATTCATATTTCGAAAGGACGCCGGCACTGCATTTGTGGATGAGGAGGAGGGTGTCTATCTTTTCTTCTACCGCTGTCTGAACCGTCGAAGCTCTTCAACGCGCAGCCATGGCGTCCTGCAGAATCGCAGTCCGACCTTCACTATTTCTACTTGGAAGCTGCAGTCCCCGTACAACTCAACGAATTCTCCCTTCTGTTTCCTTCTCCTCACCACCGCTTTCTTCCTACTCTCCATTCTTCACCGCCGTCTCAAACCATTGTACTCTTCTCTCACTCCCTCTCTTTCTCGCTCTCGGAGGCCATACAATATCTTTTGCATTTCTTTCTTAAAGCTGTTCTTGACTTTCCTTCTGTTTTGATTGCTTTACAGCCTCAAGAAACAACCCTAAGGCAGTTTCTATAAGATGTTTTTCCTCGACTTCGGCCGCTGCATCTTCAGTAGAAGTAACAGACTCTGTAGGAAGTGACCTAGAACCGCCGGAGATTCATACACAAGACACGGTGGAGCACCTTCTCACACACTCCGATGACGTTGCCAGGTTGATGAAGATGGAGCGGAGGCCGATTAATTTAGATGGAGATGAATATCCGCGTCAAGGGCGATGGTTTCCGTACCTGGATAAGTTTAGCTGTGAAAGTTCTTGGTTGAATAGTGGTGAGGTTTTGGACGCCTTGGATCCTCTCATATTGGACTCGAGGAAAGAGCGGTTCAAGAACGTCGTGCGACACAGGAGCTATTCAGTTTGTTTGGTGGTAGAGGGTTTGAGTGATTTCGGCAACGTCTCGGCGGCGTTTCGATCTGCCGATGCACTTGGATTTCAGTCGGTTCATGTGGTCTCTTGCGACGCTTCCAAAAGGTGCAAGAATGATTGAGGTGAAATTGTTTTCGAATACATTTGCCTTTTCCCCTTGATTTTCCCAATGGAAAATTGTTTGGTTCTGGAATATCGGCAGCTGCTTCTTGTCCATTGTGCCGGCGGAATTTCATTAGTGTACATGGTGTGGTTTAACTTTTTTGTTCAATGGAGTACTTGAATTCAATCAATTAGTCAATTTGCATATCTGGTTTTATATGATTAGGAGGTTAAGTTGATGAAAACGCATTTGATTTTCCATGGTAATTGTTAGATATGGGTGACAATGCATTTGTTCATGAGTCATAATCTTTCATTCCATGTTTCTTCTTCTGAGATTATTGCAATTCCAATGCAGGTACAGAGAGAATCGTCATGTTAGCATGGGAGCAGAGAAATGGTTGGACATTGAACTTTGGAACTCAACCCCAGAATGTTTTAGAATTCTGAAATCTCGGGGTTATAGAATAGTATCAACGCATCTAGGATCGAATGCGGTATTGATTCAATTTGCAAACTTTCTCCCTTCCACAATGTCCCATGAAGTAGCTTTACATTGAAATCAATTCTGTTCTTATATCGATTGTCTTATGCCAATTTTATTATGTTTCAACCATTTTGAGCTTATCCTGACAGCTGAGTTGTGATTGTCCTGTTTTAGGTTTCCGTTTATGATATGGATTGGTCGTGTCCAACTGCAATTGTGGTTGGAAATGAAAGTAGGTAATTATCTTCTTTGCTTCAATAATACTGAGTTTGATCAAGTTTTTGTACACTTTTAAATCTCTGCTAGTTGGGAGATATCAGTTATATTTAGCAAATCATAACTTAGTCCATGTTTAATAGACTGGCCTACATTTTTGTTTTCCTGCAATTCTAGTCCGCTCATCCTTCGATTAGTGAGTTTCGAGTTGTGAATATTTTCCGAACCAGGAGACATTATCCTTGTAGCTAGTTATGACCTTTACCATTTATGTTAGTATCTGAGGTTTAGTTTTCTTTGGTCTCAGGGGAATAAGTGATGAAGCCCTGGAGCTATCAGACTTGCATTGCAGTATTCCCATGAATGGAATGGTAGATTCCTTCAACGTATCAGTTGCTGCTGGCATCCTCATGCACCATGCTGTTTGCGATCGAACATCTCGATTGGTAACTCTAAAGTCATGTTTGATGTTTTGAATTCGTTTACGCCTAAGTGGTAGTTCAACTAGTTGGGGCATTACCAGGGGTGTTGTCTGGAAATATGTCGAACCGAGTCTTCCGGTGGGTCCGACACAAAGGATGTCAAAATGGACATATACTGTTTCTAGTACTGAATTGATGGTATGTTCTTTATCAAACTTTTCAGGGCTGCCATGGAGATCTCACATCAATAGAAAGGCAAATTCTACTGGCGGAGTTCTCACTACGGCATAACAAGAACGCAATCAGTGTTGCCCACGAGTATGCGAAGAGGAAGAGTAGTAGCACGAGCTCGGGTTCGGAGGTGTTGCTGTAGAATATGGCAAGTGTGGTCTCTTGAGGTGTCTAGCAAATGAGTATGAGGAGAAGAAACACACAGAAGAGCCCCCTTCAAAGTTGATCAAAACAGGTAGGCCTGGGATGAAAATGGGGATCAGAAAATTTGGAAGCAGAAGAACAATATCCCCATCTGAAGCATTTTTATCAGCCTTCTTCTTTCTGTGGTAAGCTTCAGCATTCAATTCACATGGCTATTTAATGTTACTGTGATTCTATAATTGACTTGGAGAAACTTTAACTTAGTTGTTCAGTATCAGTTTTGAACCTATATTTATATGACTAATAGAATTTAGATTAATCAGCACACGATCCTCTTCTCTTTTTTTTTTTTTTTTTTTACT